GGTTTCAAGGTTGAATAAGACAATATATCTGACATTAAAAGAAAAAGAAAAAAGTCTAATGGAGGGCAAATCTCATACAAATAGTTTTAATGAAATAAAAATATAATTTCTAAAATAAAAGTACCATAATGATTTAATAAAAGTGCTGACTTGCAAACCCCTTTATGTTTTCCTCCCATTCATGTTTTAGTCTTACGTACATTATTGCTCTTGGAGATTAAAGAATATGCTGAGAAATACATGTCTTTTCTATCAAATATCCTAGAAAAGATAGGCACCTAGAAGGTGCTCAAAAGGTAAATCTTTTGATTGAATATTAACACCACACGAGAAGGAACTAGCTAATTTTCTCATTTTCAAGATAACACATGATTACCTAAATGCAATGATGAATTCATGTAGATACTAACAATATTCTGACAAAGAAAATGTATGATGAAGTTATTAAAGTGTATTTGAGTTTATGAATAGGCCACAATGGTATTTCTAAACTATATAACAATGTTTCTTAAATGAGTTGATTACAATTTACTCCAAAAGAGTAAACAAAAAATAGTTTGAACGATTTTTCTCGATCATAGCTGACTTCAGAACCTAAGGCCCTGCTATTATTACTACTATTTTTGTGTTACATGGTTATTCTCCACACAGCAGGAACATGTAAACATTCCTTTTCTAAGGTAAGTTGAAAGTCAAGAAACAGGCAAATGTCAACCTACAAAGTCATAATTCTTTTTTATCCTGTTTTTAATTTGCTACACTAAATTTGTTTAATCTATAAATGTTTCTTTCACAAATTATAAATAATCTTTAAGCCTTCAATAACAAGGCATGAGCCCCACAGATCAATTTTTACAATATGATTAAGACATTAGAAGTGACCACAGAGCACAAAATCATAACAGCAAATGTTCTTAAAAACAAATAAGTAAATACACACACACATATATGTATATATAGACTCTGTGTGTGTGTGTGTTTCTGTCCATGTTTTTTGCCCCCTTACAATGAAGAAAAACCACCAGCTGAATTGCCAGCAGAGTGATACAGACTAAACTCTCAGGTCTCATGAGATTCTTCAATTACATATCTCTTTATTTATTTAACAGGTCTTACCATGGTTTTTGAATGACAATGACTGGCAATACTAAGTCTTTTAATTTCATACCTTTTTATATTCCAAACATAAGAATAAAAGCTTGAACTTTCATTACATCATTTTTAATGTGTCTATTAAATAATTAACTATCCGAAGAAATACATGCTACTCATTCATGACTGTTCTGGCATAATTTCTTGCATTATTGAAAGCAAATGAAAGAACAGTGAAAAAATTAGTTGTTTAACCTAAGGGCACGGCTTTAAAAATTCTGTACTTTTCCTAACTTACATTGAAAATCACAAGTGATTATTTAACTGTCTTAACAACTCTCTATTACACTTTAAAAGTAATACCAGGCACATATTTAAAGGAAGGAATCCCGATGTAGCAAGAAAATATATTTGCTTAACACGATTTAACTATTGTATATGTTACATAATGACATTTACGCAGGAACTCTATTTTTTTTCACAGAAAAGATTTATTTTGCTTTGTAAAGCAATCGACAGTACTTTAAACATCAACTCACTGTACTAAGTGAAACTATCGATTAACTGGATTTTTTTCTGCATTAAGTTTTTAGCAAAGGGCAAATTATAATAGGTATTTTTGTCAATTTATTGTAAAAAATAACTTTGGGGTTATTTACTTGGCCAGTGTGAAATCAGTGCCATCTCTTCTATTTTCCGTGTATTTAGGCTATACAATAAGAATTGATTTTCTGAGTGATAGCCTTGAGACCCTGCAGGAGTCTCACATAGCAAAGAAAGATTCAATTATGTTCTTACATGGTACTTACCAAGGAAGAAAAGTAAGGGAATATACTTCACAAAGAACTCAAGAAAAGATGCAATAACCTTCGGTTACCTAGATTAAAACCCCCAGAAAATTCAGATCACCCATTTCTCAACAGTCTGTGTGAGAGGGATTTATGATATAACAGCATTTTATGTTTGGAATGCTTATGTATACTCCCAGTGACCTTAAAGTTTATTACATAATAAGAAGAGGTTTTAAATTATAACTTTGAGTCAAGAGAATTGTATTTTTAGTATTTGAATCACCAACAGTGCTGAGTAAAATGGAAGAATCAAGAATCAAACAATATAGAAACAGAAGTACTAAACAGCCCCAGGAGACTATATTTATCTTTTCAGATTGTGGGGTGTTTTGCAACAGAGGTTTAAGGCCTGAATGGGAGGCTGGACTGCAAGATCCAAAAGATCCCTGCCAGTCCCGACATCCTGTGATCTATGGAATAACGACAGTTAATTGGCCAGATTCTGAGGCTTTTTGCTTTCCAGTTTATGTTCTCAGTAAAAGGTAAAATAATAAAAAGCACATAAATGCATAATGCCACCAAAGGTAAAGAATTACAGCAAGATAATAAAACATATCACATAAAATTTAATTATATTCATTATCAAGACAATGGTTATATGAAAAAGTTTATTTTAATGTGAACCCTCAATTTTTGCTTTATCAAAAAAAATAATAATAATAAAGGATATTCTACAAAGATAATTTCATCCTGTATTTTTTTAAAAAGCCCTAATATTATCTCCTTAACTTTCTCCAGTTTTAAGAACAAACTGTCCACAACTACTAGGGGGTTAAAAAAAGAACATGAATTCAAATCTTCAGCAGAGTGGTTTAGGTGTCATGTCTCACATCACAGATGTTCTCAGATTCAGGAAAAACCACTATTGCTCTGTGATGAACCTATTAGGATGCTAAGAGCCACAGAAGAAATTGAATAACTTAATGTGGTTGGGTCAAAAGGTCACTCATCTCTGTATGTAAGAGGGTACTTCAAAAAATTTATGAAAATATTTGTGTTATCTTTTAATTCTATTTCCAGCAACTTTTCTTTTTTTCTGGTTGTCTTGAAAATTCTTTCTTTTTTTTTATTTATTTAAATTTTTATTGAATCAAAATTGATTATACATATTTTGGGGGTTCAACATTGAGGTATCTTGATCAAATCAATATTACTAGCATATATATTGTTACAAATCGTAATTATTCTTTATGCACCTTGTCCAAACTCTTCCCATCCCCTTCTTCCTCCCCCTTCCCTCCTCTAATTACCCTAGATTTCTTTTCTCCTTCCAATATTATATTCTTTCCCCCCAATATTATCATAGAGTAGATGCTTCTTCTGTCACTCTGAGATGGGCTTTGTGGAGAGACACATCCTCTTCTTTATCTCTGCTGGTGACTCCTTTTGTCAACGCACTCCAGTGGCTGCTGGACCATATGTGTGTCGGTCGTGGCATCTAGCTGCTTTCACGGCAGCCATTGTTATTGTGGTGGCTGTGGTGCGCCGCCCACATGGGGGTAATGTTTTTGGCATGCTCCTTGGTGCTGGGGGTGTGCCTGGTTGTGGAGAGTGTCTGATCCCCGGTTCCAATCCTCAGGTACCCAGGTAGGCCCCGAGGTGCTGGCATGGTATGCTGGTTGTGGGAGGGGTCCAGTAACTTTTTGAAATACACTAGCAAATAGTGAAAAATATCTTTAAACAATTCAATTCATAATTTTGTACAGGAAAATTATGATGCTAGACTTTTTCCCCTAAAGTTTTCTAAAATCCTCCATATCATGAAGTGCTGCCTTTCCATTTAAAGGCTCTGAGTCTTCTTTCCATCTTCTTTCTCAGCCTTTGCTTCTCCACCCAGCCTTTTCACTGCAGTAATTTTTTTAGCCCCCTACCCCTTTTGTGTGTGTGCGTGTGTGTCCTCTTTTACACTGTGAGCTCCTTTCAGAACATAGCCTGCATTTACCATTATTCATGTCTATATCCCTAGAACTTAGCACATACTTCACACATGCTGGGCGTTCAGTCAAAATTTCTAACATAAATGAATATGAGTATGGAAACATTATGATAATGATAGCAATGAGTGAGACACAGTCTTCCATCTGAGACAAACACACATGAGAAACAGGAGCCAAAAAAAAAAAAAAAATTCTTTAGGCTAGTGCAAAATCCTTCTCTTTGTGATGGTGCAAGCCTACTGATAAAACTTGACATGGCTGGCTCCAACCAATGTTTTACAGCTTTATATCCTGCCACTCAAATTCATGTACAAATTTCTCCTATTGCATAGAATGTCTCACCCATCTCTGAAATAGCAGGCCTTGACATGAATTCTTGCTTTTGTACATGCGATTCTCTTATCCTGGAGTGATTCTCACCACTTTTCACCTGGAAGTCGCTCATCCTTCAACACCCAGCTTGTCTCCTCCTTAGAGAAACATCCTCTGTTCTACTGGTAGTAGTAAGGGTAGTAAGATGAACATGTCTTTGTATAAGTTCCTACCTCCAGGATTGTGATTTACTCATTCACCATCTATCCCTTTCCAGAATATGAGATCCTTAAGGGCAGGCACCAAGTCTGACTTGTCTTTTCTACCAAGCACATGGCAGGGAACTTGCAATGTCAGAAACAAGCCCTCACTGTCCATGGAATAAATAAAAGTAAATAGGATACAATTCTAAAATGAAGAAAATGAATGTTCATATGTTGTTTAGGAAGAGTTGAAATCATCTTTTTCATATCATGTGTTAAATGGCTTTGAAGGTCTGGCCTTGGAACCTAGTGGCCTTGAGTAATTTTGTTTCTATGGGAACAGGCATCCTAAGTTCCATAGAGCACACATACAAATGAGCTTTGGAACACACGTGTTACCTCAGGGTTCCACGGGGCCCAGCAGCTGGCACTGAGGCTTTGAGGCAGCCCCCAGACTGGTGAGTGTCTGTGCCTCTGAGAGGTGAATGAGCCCCAGCGACACCCCAAGTCGTGAGGAGCAGCCGAGCCACCAAAAGAGACCAGCTCCAGCCAGCCAGTGAACCACCCTCTGCCCTCTGCCCACCCGGCCCTCCCGGGCCCATGCCATGCTGATCACCGTGTACTGTGTGCGGAGGGACCTCTCCGAGGTGACCTTCCCCCTCCAGGTCAGCCCTGACTTTGAGCTCTGCAATTTCCACGTCCTCTGCGAGCTCGAGTCCGGCATCCCGGCCCAAGAGGTCCAGATCATCCACATGGAGCGACTCCTCTCCGATGACCACTGCTCCTTGGGCTCCTACGGCCTCAAGGACGGCGACGTCGTTGTTTTGCTTCAGAAGGAGTACGTGGGGCCTCGGTCCCCGGGGCGGACTCAACACCAGCCTCGGGCAGATGTCGGCGGCGTGGCCGTGCCCGGGACGTCGTCGAGCTCCCGGCGGCCACAGCACCGGCCGCCGCAGTCCCACGGCCTGGCCTCCGGAACGAAGGCGGCATCCGCTCGAGGTCTGGACAGCCCCGGCCTGCTCCGCAGCATGCTGCTGTCCGATGCCCACCACCTGTCCCTGCTGAAGGAACGCAACCCCCGCTTGGCAGAAGCGCTGCTCAGCGGAAACCTGGAGACGTTTTCTCAGGTCCTGATGGAGCAGCAGAGGGAAAGCGCCTTGCGAGAGCAGGAGAGGCTTCGTCTCTATTCTGCTGACCCATTCGATCGGGAAGCTCAGGCCAAAATAGAGGAAGACATCCGACAGAAGAACGTTGAAGAAAACATGACCATAGCGATGGAAGAGGCTCCGGAGAGTTTCGGACAAGTGGTGATGCTCTATATCCACTGCAAAGTGAATGGGCATCCTTTGAAGGCTTTTGTTGACTCGGGCGCCCAGATGACCATTATGAGCCAAGCCTGTGCGGAGAGATGTAACATCATGAGGCTGGTGGACCGACGGTGGGCTGGGGTCGCTAAAGGCGTGGGCACGCAGACCATTATTGGCCGCATTCATCTAGCTCAGATTCAAATCGAAGGCGATTTTTTACAATGCTCTTTCTCTGTCCTGGAGGAGCAGCCCATGGATATGCTTCTAGGGTTGGATGTGCTCAGGAGACATCAATGTTCCATTGATTTGAAGAAAAACGTGCTAGTGATCGGCACCACCGGCACACAGACTCCCTTTCTTCCTGAGGGAGAGCTACCCTCATGGGCTAAGATGATGAATGGCCCTGGGCAAGAAGAGTCTTCAGACAAGGAAGTAGCAGATACTATTAAACAGTCAGTCAAGGATTCAGGACGAAAAAAGCATTAAAGCAGGTAGTAAATATGCCACCACCTTGAAGGAGCTGCAGGTCCCGGGAAATTATAAGACATGAGCTCACTGGCAATGTAATCATTAAAATCATCAGTAACAACTAAACCTGGCCTTGGGACTAAGTTCTCAGATGGGTAACTATGTAGATTGTGAGTGCTTGATCTCGCCTCCTCTTGCATTTCCCTTATCCAGAGATCACTGAACCTCATCCTGGGAAAACTCTGGAGGCTGCAGCTGATTTCCAGATGATCCATGAAAAGGAAAACCAGCCTCTTCCTTTACAGACGCTACCCTAGCAGATTATAGGATCGCCAGATCAGTTGCTGATCTGCAGAACTCCCTGGAAAAAGCCATTGTTGCAGACCTTGCAAGGCATCTATACAAAACTACTACACATCAGCACTAACATTTATATTCAGAGAAATATGTCTATTTTCACAGATTTTGTTTTCTTTGGGAAAGGTATTAGAAATGGTGGGTCAGTTATATTCTTGAGTTGACTAATACACAAAGGTCTGTTTTGAGCAGGATAGGGCCAATTTCCTCATATTTTATATTTTCTCTTCCCCTGGATTCCTCTGGAGTCATGCTCACTGCAACCCATCCACCCCTAAAGGCGATTTTTGCCATATTTGAGAAAGCAGATTTTTCTCCTGAAATGTCCTAAAATAATTTTCCACTAGGCATTTAAATTAACCTTAGTTGTAAAACAAGGGCAATTAATTACATTTTTTTAAATTATGGTATTTCTTGGGAACCTAGCACTTGTGTGATGGTGGGAGTGGGAGGTGGGGGCAGACAGTCGTCCAGGTCCCTAATACTCATTTTGACTAGATCATCTCCTTTTTTTTTTAAAAAAAAAAAAATCTGCTTCATATATTAAGTTCCTGCTACATAAATATTGTTTGAACAAAGGGTTTCACTGTTAAAACAACATGTGAAAACTTCTGAATGAGAAGATCTATAAGGCCTCATAGAATGATCCATTTTGGCAAAGCCACTCTCCATTACTACTGATCATAGGAAATGGAAGATCCTAGAATTAATTACAATCCATGGCTAAAACACCCTGAGAGAAAAGGTTCAGCTGCCTGAGGCCATCAGATGTAGTGGAAATGTTTCAGGGTAATAATTCATCAAGACTGGTATTAGAAAGAACAGTGGATTCAAAGTCAAGAAGTGAATGTTCTAATCATAGCTCTTCTCATTCAGAGGTTAGACAAATCAGTTCACCTATTTACAACTCAGATTCCTCATCTATAAATTATTTCAGAGGGAGAAAGCCACTTTTCAAGTGCTAAAACTACATTATGAACCAAGACATTCTTTAAGTTATTCAGTTTTCCCAACAAAGACATTCAGAGCATTCTCAAAGGCTACAGGAAAAAAAAAAAAAAAATCCCCCTCTGTTGCTGTGGATTTGTCTCGACTGTGACAGTGTGTTAAGAAGGCGGGAAATCCTGTCAGAGTAGTTGAAAGGTGGGGCCTTCAAGAAGTGATTAGATTGTGAGGACTATGCCCTAGTAAATGGATTAATCCATTAATGGTTTAATAGTGGTCATGGGCATGGTCCTGAGGGCTTTAAAAGGAGAGCAAGTGAGGAGGTTAGCGCTCTCTCTGCTCAAGCCATTTGCCATCTCACAATGTGATACCCTGCACCACTGAAGTCTCCGCCAAAGAATATCCTCACCAGATGTGTCCCCTGGACTTTGGACTCCCCAACCTCTGAAACTGTAAGCAATAAATATTGTTTCTTTACAAATTATCCAGTTCCAGGTACTTTGTTATAAGCAATAGAGATGGACTGATACAGCTGTAATCACCATATCTCTGTTTTGGTTTGCTCGTTGGTTAGACTAATCACCTTCTTTCTAAAGAAAGTCACCTCTACCCTTCCAGCCACAATAAGTTCACCTCCCAGTTTTCTTCTTCCTTACAGATGTTCCCATACTCACATTTCCCAACCTTGCCTACATTTGCACCAAAGTTTACACTCAGTAGAACTGCTAAAACTGACCCAATAAACACATTTCCTTTCTACCTTTGTGTCTAATTCAGCACACAAGACAGATAGGAAAAAATAACAGAAGGAAGAATAGAATAGAGTAGAATAGAAGGAAGACATTCAGAGTAAAGTCATGCATAAACAAAACTCCTACAAATAGATGGAAACTGACCTGGACTCAATTTTAAGTTCCATTTATGTGTGTGCACGCGTGCGCGCGCGCACACACACACACACACACACACACAATCTTATTTGCATATGCCACATGGGACTCTTTGAAGTCAAATACAAGTTTAGTATGTGGCCTGTCAAGATTTCTAGCCCATAAAAGCCAGTTTAAAAATCACAGAATCTTTAAGATAAAAGACAGTTTACATAATATCAAATCCGACCACACCTACCCTGCCTTCTCAGACAAACACCTCTTCTGAGGTAGCTATAATGTTTTGGGATGAGTCTCAGGTATAATTCTTTGTTTCTTATATTAAGCTGAAATCTATTTGTCCCATAACTTCTAATAAATTGGTCTTCATTCTTACTTCTGCCAAGAACACACTTAATCTTTCTGGAATGAAGCAATCCTTTTAATATATGAAATCAGTGTCATACTCAATATTCTTTTTTGTAGGCTTTCCCCAGATGCTTTAACTATTTCTTCTAGGACAAGTTTGGACTCTCCTAAAAATGTCTGTCATGTTCCTTTGGACATATTCCAACTTCTAAAAATATTACTTGAGAGAAGGGATGGGCAAATTGAAAATACTTTTATTGAATTGAAAAGCAATGACCTCAAAGTAAAATCAATAAACAAAGTGAATAAATTAAACAATGCCCTTATAGATTACTTTTCTAAATCATTGCCTTTCAAATCAGAAAATATTTTAAAAATGAGTTTCGTGAATTTAATATCTTAATGTAATTCTGTGTATACTTGAAAGGGTCCTAATTAATTAAATTTTAAATGAATTAATTTTGGTAAAAGGCAACATGTTTTGTCTTCTCTGTAAATCAGGCACTATGCAAGATACTTTGCATACATTACTGCCCTACTGTTAATCCTCATAATAAACTTTCAACATCATTATCATTAACCCCATTTTGCAGATGAGGAATTTGAGGCTCAGCATTATTAGAAACATTCAAATATCCAAAGATAAGTGTTTTTGAAACTTTTTTTTACAACAACCTACATTTTACTTTGTGACCCAGTTTTACGCTTATACACACGTTCATATGTATGTTTACATATATATCCCTATATATAACTGAAACAATATGATTCTTGAAATAATATGGAATGTTTTCTCCTATCCTAGTCTATTTATTTTAAAATTACAGTTTATAATTTTAAAAATGTCTCAAACATGTCCCACTAAATGTATGCCACCACAGAATCCTGATCCAAAATTTACAGAACACTACCAGATTGTTTACTGACCTACCAGATTTCCTGATTCAAAGCTTTTGGATTTCAAATGCCAAGTTCTTTCCACTATGTAATCTTCCTTACCTGACACATTTTAATCCTAGATACTGCTGCAAAAGGGGCAAAATTGTTACAAAATGTTATTAATGCCAACAGAGTAGACACAGTCAGAATATACTCAACAATTATTTACTAAATTCCCAGAAAATAAGAACCTCTCCAGGTTTTTCTAAATAGGAAAATGAGTAAGTTACAGTTGCAGATCTCAAGGTGATTATAACCTAGAAGACTTGTAAACCAACTAAGAACAAAAAGGGTAGATAAAATTAATACTATGTTGTTACAAAAAATAAGTTTTATTTTTGAGATTATTTTTAAAGTAAGAAGCAAGCAAGTCAGTAAATGCACTTTCAATATGTCTAAAATATCCATCACTAATGCTGAAAAAAAAAAATTTGCCCTCTTCTTAAAGTTAAGATTGCTAACATACAACTTATAAATATCTACCATTGGGGATTCACTACCTGGAAAAGGGGCAAATCTTTGTTTTCTTTCTTCCTATTAGAAATCACAATAAAGTAGACCACATGGTGAAATAGACCTAACTTGTTTAAAATAACAAGCCATTTAAAAAATCCATTAAACCCGTGGTTTCACTTAATGCCCAATAAAATACTCATCTTACCTAAAAGAAGATCACTATTGTGATAAGAATGTATTTCAAGACTACAGTTATGCATTCTACAGCAGTTAAACTGGAAGACACATGTTGTTTGAGATAAGTAGAGCATATAATCTTAACCTCTTAAAATATCAGGTCATAAAATTTCACTTGTTTCTAGAGGGAAATCTATTTCCCCAAAAGAAAAGGACAAATGGATTACCACATGTATGAATTCATCTTCACCGCAGGTACTAAATGTTACCTTTTTCATTAGGAGAACATTGTGTTTCTTTCAGAACGCCAATTATAAGAGGGTCACTTGCTGACATCCAACTTTGAATAAAGAAACACTTGAGAAAATGATTTGGATGATCTGGGATTCACACCAGAAAACTGTTGGTGATGATATTAATCAACAGTAACATTCCTAGCTATTCTTTGAGATTGGCAAGAGCCTGGAACACTAAAGAAGAGGAACAAAGGTAAAGATGGGCAGAGAAGAAAAAACAAACAAACAAACAGAAATCTGGGTTGTTTTTAACTGATTCTCTCTTGGTTTAAGTACTATTTTATACGGGAGGGGGCTGGGCTGAGATTATGCATTAGCTACAGTTCCACAATACTTTATGTGAGTTATGTAGAAATGAAAATATTTTCACTATTTTCACAATACAGCCTGAGTCAAGCTTGCTTCTGAACACCAGCTTGTGTCCACACCTGCGTCCATCTGTTAGAATCTCAGAATTTCTAAGGGTTCTGTTATCAGAAAAAAAAAAAAAGGAATCTTTTTCTTGCTTTGCCTTCTTCAAAGGAATCATTTAACAGGCTTTTGAGATGGGTGAACCTGGGGTGGCTTTGTCTCATACTACTGCAGTAAATGTTTTCTGATGATTGCTTTC